TCATCAACGATGTTGGAATGAACCCTCCCTCCAAGCTCCCTCTTCATAGGCCCCTACAAGTGTTCATTTCTATTGAGGGAACTGCCTCGTTGGAAAACAACCGTTTCAAGACCCTGAAGCATGCTTTAACGCCACGGATCAACCTGACTGCTGCGTCTTGACGATCTGGACTCTTGACAAAACGCCATTTTTGGGACTTCAACACCGCGAATCAACATGACTGTTGCACCCGCATGCTCCAGAGTCCTTTGAAAACACCGTTTCTGGTACGTGGATAATGGGAGTCCGTGAAACTCTAGCAAATGTTTAAAACGAATGTGTGCGGCGCTAGGGCGAGAGCCACATTTTGAAAACTACCCGCCCTCAATCCGTGAACTTCTTGCAAAGGTTTAAAACGAATGTGCGCTGCGCTGAGGCGAGAGCCACATTTTGAAAACCACCCGCCCTCAATCCGTGAAGCTCTTGCAAATGTTTGAAACGAATGCGCGGCGCTAAGGCGAGAGGCAGATTTTGAAAACCACCCGCCCTCCATTTGTGAAACTGTTGCCATCGTTGATGCTTCAGAGTCATAAGTGGTGAGGAAGTCTCAGGCGAAACGCCTGGCCCGCCCTAAAAACTGGCCTCGGGGTGCGACAGGAGAAATTACTTAGAAGGAGAAGGAATGGAGGAGGAGGAGGAGGTGGACGAGGAGGATCCAGGGAGCCTGTGGCGGCGGCGCGAAGGCTCCCAGCTGGGACGTCGAGGCCGTTGGGGAGCGCACTCGCGCGGAACGCGGCTCCTACACGGCGCGCCAGGGGCACGTCCCGGCCTGAGATCGGTGGCGCCGGGCCTGGGCGGCGCGACCGCGTGTCGGGGGCCCCCAAACGGTGCGGTGACCACACCGTGCGGTGAGCCGGTGGGGATTCGGGGTCACCGCACGGTTTTGGGACTCGGGTCGCTCTCCGAGGACGTCTCGGGCGACAGGGGCCTCCAGGGTCCCAAGACCGTGCGGTGACGGACCGTGCGGCGAGGTCTCTTGGGGTTCCGAGGTCACCGCACGGTCTGTCGCCGCACCGTTTCGGGACTCCAAAGCGTGGCCGCAAAGAGTGGACGCACCGCCGTGCGGGCTTTGTTGGGCTACGCCCCCAAGCGCGCCGCGAGGATGCACTGCTGGACCAGAGGGTCGACCGCGCCAGCCGCCCACGGCTGATGGCGGACGTGAACCGTCGGTGCTGCGATCTCTAGCCCTGCGTGTCCAATCGACGCTGGGGTATCGGACACCCCCGCTGGGGTTCATTCGGCTGCAGATTTCCCACGGATTCTGAACCCAAGCCGGTTTGCGAAGACTCTGACCCGCAGGAGTAGGGTTCACACATAGTTGCCTGCAATCAACCCGCATGGTAAGGATGAGCGATCTTCCAAGGTTGCCCTAGCATCCTTCCTCTTCCTTCAGCCCACCCTTGGCCGCTCTCGCTGGCCCCCGCTCGCAGAGTGTCGACATGGCCTTCCAAGGCCCTTGCATCCTTATCGCGCGTCCTTATTCTACGGGTTGGCTCTGCAGCGTCTCGGGCGAGCCGCGCGCCCTGGCGGAGGCGGCGGACGCTGGCTGCGCCGTCGCCTGCGAGGGCGAGGCGGACAAACGCGGGCGTGGCCCGGCCGGTCGCGCACCCTGGCGGGCGCTGCCGCTGGCGCTCGCGGCGGCGAGGCGCCGCGGGCCGGCCGCGCTCGAGCACCCGCGGGGGCCGGCCCGCAGCCGCGCGCAGCTGCTGTCGGTGCCCCCGAGGCCGAGGCGGCCGCCAGCGCCGTGGCCGCGCAGCCGAGCGCCCTTCCGCGCGCGGCTCTCCGCCGTGCCATGGCGCGCCAGAGCTCGCCTGGGGCGCGGGACCGCCCAGGGAGTCCACGGCCGGGCTGGCCGTGGAGCTGGCGCGGTGGAGCGCGGCGGCGCTGTCCGACCCTGCGCGGCATCGACGTCGGAGGGCGGCGTCACGGCGCGTGGCAGGTTTTCAGGCGCAGGGCTGATGATGGTGGTGGTGGTGGTGGTGATGGTGGTGGTGATGATGGTGGTGATGATGGTGGTGATGATGGTGGTGATGATGGTGGTGGTGATGGTGGTGGTGATCATGATGATGGTGATGATGATGGTGATGATGGTTCAACTGAAGGTGATGATGTTCATGATGATTCTTATGATGACGATTATGATGATGATGGTGATGATGATGATGCTGCTGATGCTGATGCTGACGGTGATAGTGATGATGATCATGATGATGATGATGATGATGATGATGATGATGGTTATGGTGATGATGATGATGATGACGATGGCGACGGTAACGAAGAAGACGACAGTGATGCTGATGATGATGACGATGATGATGATGATGCTGATGAGGATTATGATGACAACATCGACGATTCTGACGATGCTGATGATGGTGATGCTGATTATGATGATGGTGATGATGTTCATGATGCTGATGATTATGATGACGATGATGATGCTGCTGCTGATGCTGCTGCTGCTGATGATGATGATGATGTTGTTGATGATGATGATGATGATGATGATGATGATGATGATGATGATGATGATGATGATGATTATGGGGAGGAGGAGGCGGAGGAGGAGGCGGAGGAGCAGGAGGAAGAGGAGGAGGACCAGGAAGAGGAGGAGACTACAATGAGGAGGAATAGTTGGAAAAGGATGGTCATTAACAACGACAATGCGAGGAGGCGTTGCCGCCTCTGGTGGCCGACTCATCCCTCCGTTGAACGCGAGATGTGCCGCTCCAGAAGGCCAGTTGTGCCAACGTCCACTTCCCTCTGATGTCATGCAACAGGAAAACGGGCCTGGAAGAAAGGGCCCACCGAAGGTCTGCACATTTTTTGGCTCTGGGGGCCTTCTGGCACCCTGAGACTGTCAAGCAATGGTCAGAATGGAAACCCTGTTCTGGGGAAGGTCTCTCTATGGCTTGCTTCCTCCTTGATGAGTTTCCCGCGTGCCTAGACTAGGAGGGGGGATGATCGAGGCGGTCCCACGATCGGTTCGTCAGAGGGCCGCCGCTTGGGAATCGCTCCTCCCTCCTCTCCCTCCTCCGTGTCTCCCGTTCTTTCAGGTGTATCGTTTTTTTTCCTCCTCATTCTGCAGTTGCGCATTGTCCATGCCCTTCGGGGGTTCGGGGTTCCAGAGTTTTCTAGTTGTTCTGAGGAGGTTCAGTACGTTCAAAGGGTTCCTCGTCCTCTCCGTCTCTCCCCCTTTTATTAATGCCCTCTCCACCCCCCCTGTCCTCCCTGCTCCTTCCTCCGCTCTCCCCTCTTCGTTCTCCTTCCGCTGCGCTTCCTCCTGTCGTCATTGCCTTGTTTTAGTTCACTCTTGTAATTTTTTTTGGGTTCTCGCTCTCTCTCTCTCTCTCTTTCTCCCAGGGATGGGGGCTGTCGACGCCGCCAGAGGATGGTGGCCGCGCTGCAACACAGATCCGCTTCCTGCCCCCTCTCCCGCTGGCTGCGGCCGCCCCGCCTCGCGCTCTCGGGGGTCGCCTCGGCCTCTGCCCCCCCTCCGGCACCCCGCGCGGTGCGCTGTAGGCGGGCCGTGCCTCGCCCCTGCACTCGCCGAGCGCGTTCCACTACTCGCAAAGTGCCTACTCACAGACGTCCGAATAACCGACTTTGTGTGATGCATCGTATATCCCCCGCGGCGGATCCAGGCTATTGGCGAGCAGTTACTTTGCGAGTAGTGGAACGCGCTTGTTCATGCACGGCGCATGGCCCAGCGTGCTGGCCCGCGCACGGCGTGTTGGGGATGGGGGGTGCTGCGCAGGCGTCTGGGATTGTGATGTTCCAGCCTACCTTGGCCTTGACCACCAGAAAGAATTTCGAGCACCACGAAAATACCGAAACTTGGGGGTTTTCACGTGTCGGGCACTGGGAGGTGATACTCGTTCGACACTGTTTCGACACTTTTTGGGGGGATCGGCATTTTTTTTGGGGATGCAGTCCGTAAGTACGATGGGAGCAACAGAAAAGCCCCTGGGGGCGACGACAACGGACGACCGCGACGACGACGGCCTTTTTGCGGATGGCGTATGGGGGGGTAAAAGAAACGATGCTGCTTAGACGGCTTGCATTCCCGGGGGACGACGACGTCGACGACGACGATGACGACGACGGCCCTTTGAGGGGAGGGGGTGCTGCGCAGGCTGTTGGTCGCCACGGGCTGACCTTCGGTTCGGAGAACAAAAAAAAATTGCATGAGCATAGGCTTTCAGAGTTTCGCGCGGATTTCTTCTCTCGGCGTTGGGACCCCTTCGGCGGCGCCTCTCGGTGCCGCCCCTTGCGCGCTCCGCTTCGGGGAGGGGGCCCAGCGCCGATGCAAGGAATCGGCGCAGACCTCCGACAGTTTATGCTTGTGCCGTTTCCTGTTCCTCTGTGCGTTTGCCCGGCACGTGTGGTTGGGCACTGTTGTGCGAGTTTCTTGGGGCAAGCGTAGTGAAGCAAAAAGTGACTCTGGTTCGGCACCCGCTTCGACGAACAAAAAGCGACATCGCAGAGGGGGTTTGAGTGAGCGCGGGGTGTGTGGGATGTCAAATGTGGCGCTATCGTGCCCAGTTTTCCCCGTGGCGTGCCCTCTCCCCTCTCCTCCCTCGTCCCTCGTCCCTTCTCCCTCCTCCCTCCGCTCTGATTCCTCATTTATTCTTCCTCCTCTCCACCTCATCCTTCTACCCCTCCCTCCCTCCCTCCTCCTCTCGCTTCTCGTCTGTCCCGTCTCCTTCTTCGTTGTCGTCCTCCGCTACGTCCTCCTCGTATAATCCTTCCCCTGCTTCCCCCTCCCCCTCAGTCATGTCTACTCCCGGTCTCACCCCTCGTCGTCGTCGTCGTCGTCGTCGTCGTCGTCGTCGTCGTCGTCGTCGTCGTCTTCCCCCTGCTTGTCATCTTCAGCGTCCTTCCTCTCCCCTCCGCCCTCGCTCGCTCTCTCCCCTCCACTACGCCACGCCGCGTCTCACGCCGCGCCCGGCGCCCAGGCGGAGCAGAAGCAGCGGGAGGAGGAGTACCAAAGGAAGCAGGAGGAGAATAGGACGGCCCCGCCTGCTGCTTCGTCGTCGCCGCCGCCGCCGCTATCGCCGCCTTCGTCGTTGTCGTCGTTGTCGTCTACGCTTGCATCCTGACGACAGCTTGAGCCGGCTCCTGAGTGGTGTCGAGCGGTAAGGATGTTACACATGCATGTGTGTATATGCATGTCTTGAAGGTCTAGGTGTATGTCGAAGTAGTGTCCCTACGGGCCGTTGGCCCGCCACCTCACAACCATCGGCCCGCATTTTTTGATTCCCCCTCCCCAGGGCTTCCAAGAGGCCTCAAGACGGCCCAAGAGGTCTCCAAGACAGGCTAATATTCCCCCAAGACTAAGAGGTCCAAGAAGACCCGAAGACGATCCAAAAGCGCTCTAGGAGCGCTCAAGATAGCCTCAGCACCACCCAAGATGCCCCCCAAGACGCCTCAAGAGAGCCCCCCGGCGCGTCCCCAAGATGCCCTGAGGAGGGCAACCACATCGATTTCCTTTAGGTTTTGGAGGGATTTAATCGCTGTCGCCTTCGATATCTTCCGACGGCCCAAGACAGCCCAAGACGCCTCCCGGAGACCCCCAAGAGAGCGTCAAGACGGCCCCAGAGGGCCCCCAGAAGGCTCAAGACGGTTGCGAGACGGCCCAAGAAACCCCGATGACAGTTCAAGAGTTCCCCTAAGATGGGGTCAGACAGGAGGAACCCGAGCTGACATCTCGAGTTCTCTGCCCCAAGATGACCCCTGATGCCGCCAACAGGCCCCCAAGATGCCCCTAAGAGGCCCTCAAGAGGCGCCAAGAGGCTCCCAGGAGGCTCAAACGAGAGCCCAAAGAGGCACCCAAGAGGCTCCAAGAGGCTTCCAAGCTACTTCAAGAAGCCTCCAAGAGGCATCCCAATATACTTTTACATGTAGGCCAGAAGCCTCTGATCCACAACCTAGGGACTGGCAGCTTAAACATTTTCCTGGCGAAGGACCCAATCAAGAGCAGCTTCGAGAATCGCGGGGCAAGTGAGAAGGAGGAGGGGGCCAGGAAAAGGACCGTGGCGTTGGCCAGGAGAGAGAATCCGCTGGGCTCGCGTGGGAGTGTATTGATTGGCGCGAGCCCTGTGCGCCGCCATGTCGTGCCCGCTCTTTCACTCCTCTCCCTGTTTCCAGTGTGCGGCGTCGTTCCTGCCCGCCTGGCCCCCCCGTGGTCCGGGCCCTGGGCCCCGCCGTCTTGTATCAATTTTCCTCTTTGTCCTTGCGCCCCGGTGACCGCGGCTCTGGGCACCACGCGCTGTGGAATCCCCGCGACGCGCGCCTGTCGCCCCGAAGGGGCCTCGGCGACGCGCGCGGGTTGTCCGCGGCACCGAGCAGGAAACGCGGGCGGCCGACAACTGGCAGGGCGCCGGCAGAGCGCGCGGGCGCCGGGCAGCTCCTGCAGGCAGAGCGCAGGGGGGTCCCGCGAGCCTGTGGGGCCACGAGACGCGTGGAGGGTGTGCCTCGGCGGTGCTCCCTATGCGGCCACGAAGCGTGTGAGGGGTGTGCCGACGTGGGCATGCGATGTTCGGGGAGCCGCATGTGAACCCTGCCAGTGAGGCCTTCGGTGGAGCTCCCTAACGGGCCACGAAAAGTGTGAGGAGTGTGTTGACATGGACATGCGGTGGACGGGGAGCCGCATGCGAACCCTGCCACTACGGCCTTCGGTGGAACTCCCCATTGGGTCACGAAGCGTGTCAGGTGTGTGTGTGTGTGTGTGTGCCGAAATGGACGTGCGGTGGGTGGGGATCCGCGTGCGAAGCCTGCCACTTGGGCCTTCGGTGGAGCTTTATGGGGCCACGAGACGTGTGGGGGTGTGCCGACATGGACACGCGGTGGGCGGGAAACCGCATGCCAACATTGCCAGTGAGGCCTTCGGTGGAGCTCCGTACGGGGCCACGAAACGAGTGAGGGGTGTGCCGAAATGAACATGTGGTGGCCGAGGGGCCGCATGCGAACCCTGCCAGTGGGGCTTTCGGGTGGAGCTCCCTATTGGGCCACGAAGCGTTTGAGGTGTGTGCCGACAAGGACATGCAGTGGGCGTTGGGGCCTTCGGTGGAGCTCCGTACGGGGCCGCAGGACGTGCGAGGGGTGTGCCGAAGTGGACATGCGGTGGGTGGGGGGCCGCGCGCGAACGTGGCCGCTGGGGTATTCGTTGGAACTCCCCATGGGGCTACGAAGCGTGTGGGGTGTGTGCCGAAATCGACATGCGGTGGGTGGTGGGCCGCATGCGAACGCGGCCGCTGAGGCCGTCGGTGGAGTTCCCTACGGGGCCACGAAGCGTGTGGGGGGTGTTCCGAAATGGACGACTGCTTCAGACAGCAAAAGTCAGGAGGGGGAGGGGGGCGAGGAAAGGAGGAGGACGAAAAGGAGGAGGAGGAGGAGGATGACGAGGAGGAAGAGGAGGAGGAGAAAGAGGAAGAGGAGGACAAGGAGGAGGCGGAGGAGGAGGACGCGCGGAGGAGGCGCAGGAGGAGAGGACACGCGTTTTTTTTATTATTGTTTTTGGTTCTTGCTCTTCTTCAATGCGCAAGCCTAACTCCACAGGATGGTCGGGGAAAATGGAACATGTAGATTTCTTTTTTCCAGTTGCCCCAAACCCGGTCCAAAAGGGCCACCACATCGCCCAATCTGCCCCCAAGTGGGCCCACGATGGCCCAAATTTTTTCCCAAGGTCGTGCCGGAGAGCGTGCCATGGCTCCAGGTAGTTGCCACGATGCCTGCAAGGGGCTTCAAGATCGCCCCGAGACGTTTCGAAAGAACGGAGCCTCGCAGGGTGGCAGCCTTGGGCCCCTCTTAGGCCGTCTTGGGGGCATCTTAGGCTGTCTTGCCCACGGCCCACAGACGGTCGTGGGATGGGCCCGGCGGCAGCTCGAAATAAAACGGGGAAGTGCTGATGCCCTTTTTCTTTCCAGTTGCCCCAAGAAGGCCGCCAGATCGCCAAGGATGCCCCTAAGTGGGGCCAGCATGGCCTACGATGGGACAAAGTCTGCTATGACGAACCCGCCACTCAACCGCCAAGCGCCCGACAGCCCTCCCGGAGGCCCCCAGAGATCCCGAAGAAACCCAGCGGACGCCCAGAAGGCCCTCCAAACGGCCAGCTGTAGCTGTGAAGCAATCTACCAGACTTCGCATCCATGCCTCGGAACTGGCTTCCCCGAGTTGATTCCGAAGTGGCCTCCTAACTGGCACCAGGATGCCCGAGCTGGCTTCGGACAGCTGCCAAAGTGCTTCCAGGGAGTCCCATGGCTGCCCCAAAACGGTTCCCAAGATCCACGGACTTGTCCAGTGTGGCCCCCGACAAACATCACTGCTTCAGTTACCCCATAGAGGAAGTCTTTCCCTTTTGTCTGTTCGCCGATGCTGGCCAAACGGCCTCCGAGAATGCTTCCAAGAAGCTCTCAGGGCGCCCGAGGTGGCTCCGTCGTCGCCGTCCCCGAGAGGTCCGAACATGCTCCTGACAGTCCCGCGTTCTCCTTGTTTTCGGCATCTCCCTGTCTCGGCCCACATGTGAGAAAAAGGTGAAGTCCACCATTCACATTTTTTCCAGTTCGTCGCCCTACCCCCGCTGCCGCCCTGGAGCTGTTCCAGAGGAAAGCGGGAAGGGGACAGAAGGAGGATCGATGCACAAGGGAAGGGCGGAGGGCTGCGAGTGGACAGCCACAAACGGGCAACGGAAGCGACGGCGGCGGAGACGGAGAGGGGAAGAGAGACGCCAAGAAGAGGACGGAACACAGATAGCGGGTAATGGGCAAACACAGGGAATGGAGGAGGAGGAGGAGGAAGAGGAGGAGGAGGAGGAGGCGAAAGAGGAAGAGGGGGGATGAGGCGGAGGAGGCGGAGGAGGAGGAGGAGGAAGAGGAGGAGAAGGAGTAGGAGGAGAAGGCGGAGGAGGATGAGGAGGAGCAGGAGGAGGAGGAGGAGGAGGACGAGGAGGAGGAGGAGGGAGGAGGAGGAGGAGGGGGAGGAGGAGGAGGAGGAGGAGGAGGAGGAGGAGGATAATAAGAAGAAGACGAAGAAGACGAATCATACTACCAACACAGAAAAATACGATGACGAACAAGAAGACAATTAGGAGTCATAACAAGAATACTCATACTACTTGTACCACTACTCAGAAGAGTAATAGTACTTAACATAATAATAGTACAAATAATGATAATAATGCCAGTATTATTAATACTCAACAAATAATATTATTAATTTGACGAGTATGTATATACATAAACATACTCATGCGAAGGCTGCTGCTGCTGCTGCTACTACTACTACTACTAATAGTAATAATTAGAATATTCATAGTAGCAAGAGTACTAGTACTAGTACTAGTAGTAGTAATCGTGATAGCAATATTAATAGCAATAGTACTAGTAATAGTAATAGTAATAGTAACAGTAATAGTAATAGTAATAGTAATAGTAATTACAATAGTACTAGTAATAGTAATAATATTAGTACTAGTAATAGTAACAGTAATAGTAATTGTAATCGTAATAGTAAGAGTAATAGTAATAGTCATAGTAATACCGGGGCGTGCGTAAAAAAACGACGATCCGTCGATATGATGAGGTAATGGCGTTCTGCTTTAGAAGTAATGATCGTGCGTGTCGTACGAAACGTGTGAGGGGTGTGCCGCGAAACGGGCGCGGGGCCAGAATACGCTCAAACAGGGTCCTCCTGGAACGGCGGAGTGTCCATTATCTTCGCCCGCGCGTGAGGCCACTGCATCGTTTCCATTATCTTCGCCCTACGCTGAAACAGGGTCCTCCTGGAACGGCGGAGTGTCCATTAGCTTCGCCCGCGCGTGAGGCCACTGTATCGTTTCCATTATCTTCGCCCGCGCGTGAGGCCACATTCTCGGTCCCATGAGATTCGGCCGCACGTGGGGCCACATTTTCGCATTCATCTGTTACAGCCCAAAAATCGTGTTCGCCCTCCCCCCCTCCCCCCCATGGAGCAAAGCTGGGTGGAGGCGGAAGCGCCGACCTGCCCGGCCCACGAGTCAGCTTTGCACTTCGGGGGGGAGGGGGGGGAGGGAAAGAGGGAGGGAGGGAGGGAGGGAAGGTGGAGGAGGCAGGAGGAGGAGGGGAGGAGGAGGAGGAGGAGGAGGAGGAGGAGGAGGAGGAGGAGGAGGAGGAGGAGGACGACGACGAGGAGGAGGACGAGGAGGGAGGAACAGCTTTGCACTTCGGGGGGGGGGGGGGAGGGAAAGGGGGAGGGAAGGGGGAGGGAAGGGGGGAGGGAGGCAGTGGGGGAGGAGGGGGGAGGAAGAGGAGGGTGAAGGGGAGGAGGAGGAATGAGGAATGAGGAATGAGGAATGAGGAATGAGGAATCAGGAGGAGGAGGACGAAGAGGAGGAGGAGGAGGAGGAGGAGAAGGAAAAGGAGGAGGAGAAAGGAGGAACAACTCTGCACTTCGGAAGGGAAGGGGGGGAAGGGAAGGAAGGAGGAAGGGAGGGAGGAGGGAGGAAAAGGAGGAATGTCAGAGAAACGGGCATTCAGCAGGCGCGTGTGTAGTATCTGTTCTTATCTTGCTTTCTACAGCAGCGCGCGCTCTCACAGGGCGCCCTTTTTGGATCAAGGGTAGACAACTATTCATTATCCTTATCAGTGATCGCTGCCTGCCAGGGCAGACTCTCATGGTAAGCGGAGCGTGATTGCTCCGGGACCTACGCACCGCAGGCCGTTGGGCTGGGCCGCCGCGCCCGGGCGCCCCGCGGCAGGCAGCGGCCAGCGCCGCCGCCGGAGGCCGCCGAGCCTCCCCTCCGCCGCCGCGGTCACCACCGCGGCTGTCGTGGCAGCCCACGACTACGCGCTCTCCGCCGCGTTGGCCGAGGGCACCTACCTGTACAAGTACGCCGAGCACGCTGCTGCTTATCATCTTCAACATCCTCCTGAAGATGTCCATCGAGCTGGACAGGAACGGCGTCCCCCAGTACGCCGGGCAGCCGGAGTACCTCAACGAGTACGAGTAGCGCGCCTGGGTCCTGTACCATGGCAGGACGGGCGAGAAGTCGAAGCAGGCCGCGACGGCCCTGCACTTGCGCTCGGGCCTGTCTGGTCCGGCCTACGAGGCCGTGCGCAAGCTCAAGCATGACGAGCTGATCGCCACTGACGAGTACGGCGAGTCCAAACCGGATGGGCTCACTCTCTTTCTGACGACGCTGAAGAAGGAGGTTCAGGGCATCGCGCCCGTCCGGAGCACCGAGATCTTCGACAAGGCGCTGTATGGCTCTTCGGTTTGGCGTGATCGAAATGAGTCTATGGCTAATTATGTGACGAAGAGGCGAAAGGAGTTCGCCGAGTTGCAGGAGGTCAGCGCCAGCACGACGATTTCGGAGGACATCCAGGCCGCGCTGATCCTCAGGTTCTGCGGTATCAGTATGAAGGAGCAGGCCGCGGTCCTCGCCTCCAACAAGAACGAGTACAAGCTCGCGGGCATCGAGTACGCTCTGAGGGCGCAGTACCCAGCTGTACATCGTCATCAGGACCGACGCGCGGATCGCCGAGAGCGGTCTGCCTACGCCTACGCCGCGTCGGACCAGGACGAGAACCCGCCGGAGTTCGACAACGTCTACTACGAGGACGAGGACGAGGACGGCTACTACCAGGGCGAGGAGGAGGAGTACGAGCACGGCGAGGACGACGAGTTCGACATCGAGAACTACGTCGCGGAGAACCTCGACGAGCTCGGCCCCGAGGAGGCCGAGGCCCTCGCCCTCGTCTTGCAGAGTCGCAACAAGATCTTCAACAAGAAGAGGCCGCCTAGGCGAGTGACTTCGAGCTTCCACGGTCGTGGCAAGACTGGTGGGAAGGGAGGCCGCCGTGGAGGCGGCAGGGGATTGCCGAGCAGATCGCCCGCGGGGCGAGGTGGCAGCAGCAGTTCGAGTAACGCTGCCCCCGGCTACGACGACCGGCAGCGCGACGCTCGCCGGCAGCACGTCGCCGACCTGAAGAAGAGGACCCAGTGCTCCGATTGCCACCAGTTCGGGCACTGGCAGGGCGATGATGTTTGCCCTCGTCGGTCGGGCCGGAAGCCTACATCGGCGTCTCCAGTCAAAAAGCCCGCTCAGAACTATTTTACGCTCGAGGAGTACGGGGGCGACGACGACGGCAGCGCGCCGTCCGAGGTCTTCATGATTCTGAAGGGCGAGATGGAGCACGCCTGCGAGCACGTGGCAGACGACGCCTGCGAGAAGGTCGTCCGCGGCGCCAACAAGACCACCAGGTACATCACATGCAAGGAGTGCGACCGCCACTTCACGCTCGCCCACCGCAACAAGGGGCGTGAGCTGTGGAGCTACTTCATGACGGTCTTGATGGGCACGAAGTGGGGCCGCTTCCTGTTTCACAAGGGGTTCGCGAAGCGGATCGCCATGGTGGTCGACGCCCTGATGGTTCAGGGTCGCCTCCCATCTACGTATTCGAGGCAGGCGGCGGCGCCCGCGGCGCGACGCATTGCCGGCAAGCAGCGGCTATTCGGCCGGCAGGCTGCAGGAGGCGATAAACCACGTGCATCTACACCGGCGGCCGCTTCTGCGGCCAGTTCTACGAGGCCGAGTGCTACTGGATCAGCATCGGCCGCGCCACCTACGCCCGAGAAGCGCACCGTCAAGGTCGACCTGACCAAGGGCGACCCCGAGCCGAAGCCGGGACCGGAGCTGGCCTTCCTGTACGGCATCCCGCTCCACCACAGCACCGAGCTGGTGGAGTTCCCGGAGCTCGATGGCGTCGACCAGCTCAACCCGGTCCCGTACCCAGCGGAGGTCATCAACTTCGGCGCGCACAAGGGGCGAACCTTCCAGGATGCGGCGTCCGACCCGGCGCTCATCTGGTATAACAAGTGGGCTCTGGATCAGGCCTTGGGCCCCGAGGCGGAGGGGATCGACCCCCACTTGTACCGCTGCGCTTACTTCCTCTACGCCATCGTGAAGATCGCGCGTGGCAAGTTCAACGTTGCCCCGCAGCAGATGATCGACAGCGACAAGAGGAGGCTCACCACCGACAACGACTGGATGGAGGTCAACGCCGGCGACTTCACCATCCCGGTTCAGCCCAACATCCATCAGCCGGACGTCATCTCCACCTACGAGTGCACGGTCATGGTCGCCACTACCGGCGACGCCTTCTCGGCACGCGACAACGACGCCGACGCCATGCTCGCCATAATCGACTTTCTCTGCACGCGCACCATGCGCGGCGAGTCGTGGCGGGCAGCCTTCGAGCGTAAGCTCGCGAGGCGCGGTCTTCAGGTAGTGAAGACCCCGACCTCCCGCACATTCAGAGGGGTCGGCGGCCGCGCGAGGAGCACCACGGCGGTTCGCTTTCCCGTGGGCATCGGCGGGAAGTGCGGCGAGATCTTGTCGTGTGAGGTGCCGGGCGACTGCCCGATGCTGCTCAGCAGGGACATGCTCACCAAGCTCGGGCTGAGCATGCGGCTCTCCGCAGAGGGCGATGTCGCCGACTTCGCCAACATCGGCGTCTACAACCTGAAGCTCCACCACACCAAGGTGGGCCACCCGGCGGTCAACCTCCTTGACCTGCCGAACGAGAGCTACGAGACGGCCGATTGGGCGGCGCTGACGGTGCCCGAGGACCACCACCTCGAGTACTTCCCCGAGCAATTCCACGTCGGCATCACCTCCATCGAGGAGAGCTCTGCTGAGCCTCTCCCCAGCTTCCTGGACATCGAGATCGGCGAGACCACGGGCGACGAGTGCCTCCAGACGGTCGTCGACCACGACTACGGACCGGACGTCTTCGCCGCCGAGGCCATCGAGTGGGGCGGCAAGCGCAACCTCACCAACAAGAAGTCCAAGAAGCTCGAGCACTCCCTGCAGGCCGTCGCCGTGCAGGACGAGGTGGTGCAGGCCGTCGTGGAGAAGCATCCGTCGAGGGCCCGGCTGCCTGCCGGTGCCCGGACGTGGGTCAAGCAGACCTACGCCGGCCAGATGGGCTTGACAGTGCTCATGGCCGCGATGGGCCTCTCGGTCGGCGTACCGCTGGACAAGCGCACGGGCTGGGGCGCTACCACCAGGCTGGGCAGGCAGAGGTACGACGCGGAGATCACCAACGAGGAGCCGTACTGCCTCGTGGTCTCGCACCCCTGCTCGCCGTGGGGCAACTGGAGCAGATTCAACATGGCTCGTTGCCCGGAGTCCGAGAGGAAGATCTTGGCCAAGCGCGAGGAGAACCGCCCTATTCTCAGGCAGGTGGACTCCTCAGTGGACAGCCGAGTGCGGAGGGGCTTCCACGTGGCGCTGGAGCATCCCCAGGGCTCCGAGGCTTTCGACCAGCCGGAGATGTCAAGGATTCGTTCTCTCCTGGACAAGGGCATCCTGAAGAAGGTCACCTTCGACGGCTGCCAGGTTGGGTACCGCGATGCTGAGTCAGGCTTGGCTCATCGCAAGCCCATGATGATCATTACCACCATGGACACGCTGGTCGAGGCCCTTTCCGATAAGAAGTGCAGCTGCACCCAGCGCGAGCAGCTCAAGGGCCACAACAAGTTCGGGCCGCGCACCCTGCAAGCGGCCGAGTGGCCGGAGGAGCTCAACCACATCGTCGCCCGCAGCATCGTACAGCAGGCCATCGTCGACAACGCCACGGAGACCGACTGGCAGTTCCCAGCCGAGGACGGTCCAGACCTTCGTGGGCTAGTTCGACTGCGACGACGGACCAGGCTGCGGGGGCACCCGTGCCGGGCAGCCACGGCGCCGCCAGCGCCACCGCTGGACCCGGACGCGCCTGAGCCTGCTCCTCCTCCAGCTGACCAAGAAGCTGTGGGGGAGCCACCACCTCCGCCAGCCGTCGATCCCGACGGCGAGCGAGCCCGAGAGGCCGCTCAGCTCGGCCCCATCACCAACACTCAGGAGGCCGAGCGGCGCAGGCGATGGCTGGAGGCCCCGCCGGAGGTCAGGAAGGCCATCCGCCAGCTCCACGTCAACTTCCACCACTGCTCGAACGTGACGCTGACCAGGCTGCTGAGGCGCCGAGGAGTCAAGCCGGAGGTGCTGAAGTACGTGGAGTTCTTCTCCTGCGACGCCTGTGGCGACGCCATTCGTCGGCGCGCCCCGCGACCTTCGCGGTTGCCAGGTCAGTACGTGTTCAACTACGCCATCCAGCTGGACACCTTCCACGCCTACGACGCGGCCGGGACCCCCTATTTCTTTATGAACTGTATCTGCGAGGGCACGAATTTCCAAGTCGTGTACTGCATGGGCCCGGCTCGTGGATCACCGACGTCGCGTGCCACTGCCAAGGCGTTCACTACCAGCTGGACCCCGTGGGCTGGCTACCCAGAGAAGCTCACGGTGGACCTGGGCAAAGAGTGGATGAAGGATTTCGCCTCCAACGCGAAGGCGCACGGCGTGCAGGTCGACCTGGCCCCGTTGGAGACGCCGCACCTCATCGGCAAGTGCGAGCGCCACGGGGGCATTTGGAAGGAGATCTGGCGACGCACTGTCGCCGACTCCCAGGTCACGGGGCTGGATGACGTCGAGGAGACCGCCTCCATCGTGACCCAGGTCAAGAACGAGCTGGGCCGGCGCGGGGGGTTCTCCCCTTCGCAGTGGGTCTTGGGGTCGCACGGGCCCCGCGCCCCAGGAAGCCTCCTGCAGGACGACGAGGCGCAGCGGCTGGAGGTCATCGAGGCGTCGCTCGACCCACAGTCCGCCATGGCCCGCGCCATGGCCCTGCGCGAGGCGGCCCGCATCGCGCACGTCCGCCTCGACTCCGACGACCGCGTCAAGCGCGCCATCCTGCGCAAGGCGCGGCCCAGCCAGGGGCCCTTTCAACATTGGGGCCATCGTGTACTTCCGCCGGTCGCAAACCCGAGTCGGCGAGAGCCCCGAGGTCACGCGCCGCTGGTTTGGGCCGGCCCGGGTTATCGGTCATGAGGTGCGCGACCCTCGCCATCTCTCTCGCGACGCCGACGAGCCCGTCGGCGCGCTGGCCCATGCGGTGTGGCTGCGCTATGGGCGCACCACCGTGCTCGCAGCCCCTGAATCGCTCAGGTTCGCCTCCGAGGACGAGCTGCTCGCCATGCACACCTACGTGAACCCGGACCTGCTGTCCCTCCGGTCGCTGAAGGGGGCCAGGCACTATATCGACATCCGGGCCGACACGGCGGCAGCCTCGCCCGCCCCGATGCCCAGGCCGCAACAGCACGCGGCTGGCCACGGAGGGGTGGTTGGGGGCGCCCTCGGATCTGCCGGGCCAGGGCCTGATGCAAATTTCGACTTCGACGAGTTCAACACCGAGGGCCATCTACCACAGCAGCGGGTCGATCCTCCACAACCGGCACACGAAGTACCACAACAGGCATCTCACGAAGTACCACGACAGGCATCTCCAATTATTCAGGACCATCTACCACAGCAGCGGGTCGATCCTCCACAACCGGCACACGAAGTACCACAACAGGCATCTCACGAAGTGCCACAACAGGCATCTCCAATTATTCAGGAGACTGCCGACACACTACTACCACCACCAGCTCAGCATCAGCCTCCTCCTGTGGTTCCTGAGCCACCACGCCCAGGGCTCCCAGAGGCAGAGGGGCCGCCGCTCTCGTGCGGCCCGGGCGAGCCCAGCATTTATTCCGAAGTTAAAGGTCATTGGGTCGACCCTCGGGCATCCCAGGCGGCACCTCCTGCGGAGGCTCGAGTTAAAGGTCATTGGGTCGACCCTCGAGCATCCCAGGAGGCTATCGACAAGCCGGTGCCCCCAGACGACGAGATGGGCGTGGGCCTGGAGCGCGGGGAGAAGCGCAGAGGCCTGCCGATTACCCAGCTGGACAGAGCCATGCGCGATCCGGAGCGTCTGGATCGGGGTTCTACCAAGAAGCCTCGCACCTTCCAGGGCTACGTGGAGGAGGAGTTCCGCGTCATGGAGGACGCCCTCCACGAGGTGTTCTTCACCGGCGACTACAAGCCGGACCTGGCTGTCGCCTACGAGTGGCGTCGCACCGACTACGGCATCAAGAAGTTCATCGCCACGGACATGCGCGGCCCTCGCTGGTCCAAGGTGCTTCGCCGCATCACCAGGGACATCAAGACGGGCATCGTGATCGATGACATCGACGTCAGAGGTCTTGCTCTTCGCGATGCTCGCCTTCGCCGGCCTCTGCCTGGTGGCATCACCGCGGTCGAGACCATCTTCGTCCACGCCGACGAGGACGTGGGCACGAACGACGCCGTCGAGTTCGCCTACCTCACCAAGGGCGCGGTCCGCTCCGAGATCAGACTTCAAGATCTCGCCCCAGAGCAGAAGAAGGAGTTCGACCAGGCCATGGCCAAGGAGTGGCGCAGCTGGACCGAGTTTCAGGCCGTCGAGGTGCTGAGCTCCAACCAGGCCAAGGAGCTCCTCGACAGGGGTGCCTCCCCGGTTGGGGCGCGCTGGGTTCACACGGACAAGAACGCCAAGAAGCGCAACCCCAAGCAGACCTACGACGACATCCCGCTCGCTGCCAAGAGTCGGCTCGTCGTGCAGGGCTGCCAGGAACGAGGAGATGATATCCGAGGCGACGCTCCTACTGCTAGCCTTTTGGCTTTCCACCTGGTCGCCAGTTACGCTGCCTCCCATCGGTGGCAGGTAAGGGCAGCTGATGCTGCGACGGCCTACCTGCAGTCCAAGGGCATTGGGCGCATTCTGCTTCTTCGAGCTCCTCGTCCTCCACCGCCTGGAATTCCGGAGGGGTCCTGCATGCGCGCTCGCGGCGCCATCTACGGCACCAAGGACGCGGGCAGGCAGTGGTGGCTGCGCCTGCGCGCCATCCTCGTGGAGCAGGGTTGGCGCGAGCCCATCTACGAGCCCTGCCTGTTCATGCTCAGGGACAGCATGGGCAAGCTCATCGGCTTGCTGTGCGCGCACGTCGACGACCTCTTCGTCGCGGGCGCGGGCGAGCAGTTCGAGCGCGTGTTGGATATCATTAAGGATAAGATCCACCTCTCCTTCCAGTCCGGCACGTTCAGGTACTGCGGCAAGGTCGCGGAGCAGGACAGCTAGACCTTCGACATCAAGATCGGCCAGGCCGCCACGGTCGAGGCGCTGGAGTACATCTCCCTCGAGCCACACCGCCGGCGCAAGCCCAATGCACCGCTCACCCCGGAGGAGATCTCTGCCCTCCGTAGCGGTGTTGGGTCGCTTGGCTGGGTAGCGCGGCAGACGCGCCCTGATCTGGCCGTCCACGCTTCGCTTGGGGCTCAGTCCATGAGTGGTCCCAAGATCCGCGACATCGTCGCAGTGAACCGCGCCATCAGGATGGCCAAGGACGACGTCGACTTCAAGCTGGTGTTCTCGTCCAGCCTGGACTGGGACAGCGCGATCGTGTTCGGCTGCGGTGACAGCAGCCACGGCAACGTCGACGACCTGACGCTGGGCGAGAAGGTCAAGTCGCAGTGCGGCTACGTCATCGGCATGGCGTCGCCCGACCTCGAGATGGACACCGCCGCGATCATCCATCCGCTGGAATGGGCCAGTGCGACGATCAAGCGAGTGGTTCGCGGGTCGCTCGCAGCTGAGTGCAACGGCTTCCTGACGACGGCCGAGAGCGCGGAGTTCCTCAAGCATGTGATCGCCGAGATCTCCGACCCCGGCTACTCGTCCTACCAGTTCGACCCGTTCTTCGACGGCAAGCACCTGCTGCTGCTGACGGACGCGAACGGCCTCGTCACCTCCTTGGAGAAGGACGGTGGTCAGCCCGCTGATAAGCGGGTGCGGATTCTGATGGCCCAGATCCGCCAGCTGCTCGGCCATGACGTGCTGAAGCAGGAGCGCGAGGGTGATGACTGGAGGATGCGTGTCAGGTGGATCGACACGAAGTTGATGATCGCGGACGCCTTGCCGAAGGCCGATGCTGAGAGGGGCTTCCTGCTCGAGCGGCTGACCGAGGGCCGCTGGTGCTTGGCCCAGACGGAGGAGATGCTCGCTGCCAAGGCAGCGGCTGGTGAGGCGCGCCGTGCTCGCAAGGCCCGGCTAGGCGATGCGGAGGGGTAGCCCCCCCGATTTTCGTTTCTCTCTTTCTCCTCCTCCGCCTCCTCTCCCGCGCACCGTTCGGCTTCGCATTCGTCTCGATTACGCCCTAGCCTAGCTAGGTACCGCCCTGTGTAGTTCCATATCCGCACGCCTGTATAGGCCCCCGCTCTGCCGACTCCTTGGAGATTCGCGCAGTGAATTTGTTCCAGAGCACTCTGGCATCTGGGCTCATCTCTGTCTAATGTAGCTTAGCCCCGCATCGTTTTTTTTGGGGGTCAGGACGAAGTTCCGCCGCTTCTGTCTCCGCTCCTCCCGTTTTCCCGGGATTGTGCCCTACGAGGACAGGCCTCGATGGTCACGGAGGGGTGTCAGAGAAACGGGCATTCAGCAGGCGCGTGTGTAGTATCTGTTCTTATCTTGCTTTCTACAGCAGCGCGCGCTCTCACAGGGTGCCCTTTTTGGATCAAGGGTAGAAAACTATTCGTTATCCTTATCAGTGATCGCTGCCTGCCAGGGCAGATTCTCAAGGAATGAGGAGGATGGAGGAGGAGGAGGGGCGACGAGGAAAAGGAACGAGGATGATTTTCAAATGGAGTGCGAAGGAGTGCCTCTGGGGAGTATCTCCAGAGGCTTTCGGGCGGAGTGCGGACGACTGCGGAGGATTTCAAATTCGAGCGGAGGCCTCTGGGGAGCACCTCCAGAGGCCTCCAGGAGGAGTGCGGTCGAATGCGGAGGTTTTCAAATTCAAGCGGAGGCCTCTGGGGAGTGGCTCCGGAGGCTTTCGGGCGGAGTGCGGACGAATGCGGAGGATGTCGAATTCCAGCGGAGGCCTCTGGACTGCCTCCCAGAGGCTTCCGGGAGGAGTGCGGACGAGTGCGGAGGATATCAAATTCGAGCGGAGGCGTCTGGGGACTAGTGCTGGAGGCCTGCGGGAGGATTGCGGACGAGTGCGGACGATTTTGAATTGGAGGCTGGAGGATGGGAGGGTGGGGCGGCGGGCGAGGGAGGGGGGAGGGATAGGCCCGGCGACAAAGAAGTGACCACATCTTCTTTGCGAGACTTTGCGTGCAGAGGGTGTGATATGATTCGGGCAGGCCCAGTGAGGCAGACATGAAAACATCTCCTTGGCAAAGACGTGCGTGCAGAGGCAGTGATATGTTTTGCCAGCCGCGGTGAGGGAGACTTCAAACCATCTTCCTTGCCAAGGTGTGCGTGCAAAGGCTGTGATGCGATGATGTTGGCATGTGAATCGAACGATGTCGTGCGTGCGATTGCTGTGCGATGATCTGGTTGTGATGTGGAGGCAACTGTGAACCGAACGATGTCGTGCGTGCGATGGCTGTGCGATGATCTGGTTGTCATGTGGAGGCAACTGTGAACCGTCTGGCGCGCTCCGCGTGCCACGGTCGTTTATTTCGCACACACCGGTAGTAATAGTAATAGTAGTAGTAATAGTAAGAGTAAGAGTAAGAGTCATAGTCATAGTCATAGTCATAGTCATAGTCATAGTCATAGTCATAGTCATCGTCATCGTCATCGTCATAGTCATAGTCATAGTCATAGTCATAGTCATAGTCATAGTCGTAGTATTAGCAATCACAATAGCAATAGTAATCGTAATAGTAGCAGTAATAGTAATAGTAATAGTAATCGTACTCGTAATAGTAATAGTACTGGTAATAATAAAAGTAATACTAATAGTAATCGTAATATTTATAGTAGTAGTCATAGTCATAGTAATAGTAGTAGTATTAGTAATAGTAATAGTAATAATAATAGTATTGTCATAGTCATACTCATAGTAATAGTAAAAATAATAGTAATAGTAATAGTCATAGTAATAGTAATAGTAATAGTATTAGTAATAGTAATAGTAATAGTAATAGTAATAGTAATAGTAATAGTAATAGTAATAGTAATAGTAATAGTAATAGTAATAGTAATAGTAATAGTAATAGTAATAGTAATAGTAATAGTAATCGTAATAGTAATAGTAATATAGTCATAGTAATAGTAATAGTAATAGTAATAGTAATAGTAATAGTAATCGTAATCGTAATCGTAATCGTAATCGTAATCGTAATAGTAATAGTAATAGTAATAGTAATAGTAATAGTAATAGTACTAATACTAGTACTCGTACTAGTAATAGTAGTAGTAATAGTAATAGTAATAGTAATAGTAATAGTAATAGTAATAGTAATAGTAATAGTAATAGTAATAGTAATAGTAATAGTAATAGTACTAGTACTAGTAATAGTAATAGTAATAGTAATAGTGATAGTGATAGTGATAGTGATAATGATAGTGATAGTGATAGTGATAGTGATAGTGATAGTGATAGTGATAGTAATAGTACTAGTAATAGTATAGTAATAGAATAGTAATAATAATAGTAATAGTAATAGTAATAGTAATAGTAATAGTAATTTTTATCGTAATAGTAATAGTAATAGTAATAGTAATAGTAATAGTAATAGTAGTAATGGTACTAGTACTAGTAATAGTAATAGTAATAGTAATAGTCATAGTCATAGTCATAGTCATAGTCATAGTAATAGTAATAGTAATAGTAATAGTAATAGTAATAGTAATAGTAATAGTAATAGTAATAGTAATAGTAATAGTAATAGTAATAGTAATAGTAATAGTAATAGTAGTAGTAGTAGTAGTAGTAGTAATAGTAATAGTAATAGTAATAGTAATAGTAATAGTAATAGTAATAGTAATAGTAATAGTAATAGTAATAGTAATCGTAATAGTAATAGTAATAGTCATAGTCATAGTTATAGTCATAGTCATAGTCATAGTATCGTAATAGTAATAGTAATAGTAATAGTAATAGTAATAGTACTAGTAGTACTAGTACTAGTACTAGTACTAGTAATAGTAATAGTAATAGTAATAGTAATAGTAATAGTAATAGTAATAGTACTAGTATAGTAATAGTAATAGTAATAGTAATAGTAATAGTAATAGTAATAGTAATAGTAATAGTAATGGTAATAGTAATAGTAATAGTAATAGTAATAGTAATAGTAATAGTAATAGTAATAGTATTAGTAACATTAACAGTAGTAATACTATTCGTAATATTTCTAATGTTATTATTCTTGTAGTATTACTAGTAATACTAATACTAATACTAATCATAGCAATACTCATAATCATACTAACAATGATAATCCTAATCATGGTCAAAATAATGGAGGAGGAGGGGGACAGAGGAATGGAGTTATTGCGGAGCTCGTCTCCCGTCGCCGGTGGGCGCCGCTCGCCCCAGCGATGTTTCACCTGCGCCGCGGGGGCGCAGGCCAGCGGCTGGCCTTAAGTCGGGCGTGTTCTTCTACGGGGCGAATATCCCAAAATTGTGAAGCAAATCGTCTGGGTACGTTTTTACCTAACAGCGAAGACTGGTAGGTTTCTAGTAGGGTCAAAAGAGAGCATCATGACTCCCCAGGGGGGTCTGGGCGGGATCCGGACAGGGTGCCCCAGGAGTGCCCCGGGAAACCGGGGATTCTTTTTTTAGCCAGCAGTAACGCATTTCGTGGTCTTCGAGTTCCCAGAACTCCATTCCTGGGCATGATTTTGAATGCCCTGAGCCACCTGTAGGCCACTTCGTGTTCTTCGAGTTCCCAGAACTCCATTCCCGGGCATGATTTTGAATGCCCGGAGCCAACTGTAGGCCACTTCGTGGTCTTCGAGTTCCCAGAACTCCATTCCTGGGCATGATATTGAATGCCCGGAGCCAACCGTAGGCCACTTCGTGGTCTTCGAGTTCCCGAAACTCCATTCTCCTCCTCCTCCTCCTCCTCCGCTCCTCCTCCCTCCCCTCCTCCTCCTCCCTTCCTCCTCCCTCCTCCTCCTCCTCCTCCTCCTCCTCCTCCTCCCCCCTCTCCTCCCCTCCTCCTCCTCCTCCTCCTCCTCCTCCTCGTCTACTCCTCCTCCTCCTCCTCTTCCTCCTCCTCCTCCTCCTCCTCCTCCTCCCCTTCCTCCTCCTCCTCCTCCCCTGGTGCGGGACAGCGCCCTTGAGGGACAGCGGATTCTCCCTCCTCCTGCCTTGCTTTGCTGCTGGAGACAAACAGGTTCCCCCCCCAGATGTCCCCACCGTCAGCCCTTCTCGCCGCGGGGAGTGCGCGCGTGAAGAACGGGAGCCCACAGGCGTTACGGTTCAGGCGAGAACCCCTGGCGCGGAGCCACCTGGTGGTATCGGCCACCCCACTTGCACGGCAGGTTCGTGTCGTGTCGACGCGGCGGCGACCCCAGCGCGGGCGTTTACGGTTGAATGCCGCCAGTGGCCCAGAATCGGGCAGGACGGATCGATTCGCTGGTCGGAAAGCCGAAGCGCGTTCGAGGCGGAACGATCTTCGTGGTGTTGGAAACCAACGCCAGGGTCGTCACGACAGGAACCTGTTGTACATCCACCGCCAGAAACTGTCCACATCCAGTGCTTCGGAGTCGGGTCTTGGGATTTCGAGCTGTTCGCCCGCTGGGGCGGGCAGACATCCACGTCCACCGCTCAGCGAGTCCTGAGGACACGACCCCGCGGCTGTGCATATGGACATGCTCTGGTGGCGTATGGCACTGGCCATCTGAAGCTGCTGCTCCGCTGCGCCATCGAGCGACGCCCCCCCGCGCCGCGCGCGCGCCGCGGCGTCGCGGTCTGGCCGCCGCGACGTTTCTGCGCGCGGACCTCACGCGCACCTGCCCCCCCTTTGGCTCTCTCTCTCTCTCCTGCGGCCCGCCCTCTTCTTTTCCTCCACCCTCGCACTCGGGTCAATTCGCAATGCCGTCGCCCGGCTTGCCTGGACGCGCGTGCGGACTGCCACTGCCACGCTGCGGCGCAACACTGTCCGAGAGAGAGAGGGGAGGCAGGGAGAGGAGACCCCAACGCCTGGTCTATCGACGCCCACTTGAAGCTCCTGATCGTCCCAGGGCGTTCCCGAACGCCCTGAGAGCGTTTCGGAACACTCTGGGACGGCCGCGGCGCCCGATGCATCCTCCAGACTGCCAGCACTCAGAGATTCTCGGTCTGCCCTCATCCGAACCTGTCTTCAGACCGCCTTCGTCTTTAGCTGCCCCTCCTTCCTCACTTGGGATGCAACTCCTGCGAGGTTCAATTGAGCATCGGCGCTGGTATATCCGCCAAGAACAGGCCTAATCCAGCAGAGTCCCACTTAATCCAGCTTGCTCCTCCTTAATCTGGCTCTCTCCTCCTGAGTCCTCCTTGATCCTCCAATCGGGCCCAGTGGCCCCTTAATCGGGCCCGATAGGCTGTACTCGTTCCTACGATGACCTTGGAGGAGCGTCTTGGGGGAAGTGAGAGGGGGCAGGCCTTCTCAGAAGACGGGCGGGGCCTCTCCGAAGCCCTCAAGCCTTTGAGATGCCGCGTCTGTTTTCGGAGAAGGCTCGGACACCTTTTCGGAAGGCTCGGACATCTTTCCGGAAGGCCGCAGGCCTTCCGAGCCTTCTGAGAAGGCCCGCCCCCTCGGACTGTCGCCCAGGGGCTCGCCGCCGAGAAGACCTTTCACGAGCTGCCTCCCGATCCCCCCCCCTTCCGCGCGCAAGGAAGTGGAAAGAGGAACGTCGGCGGCGCCCGATTTCCTTCGCCTCATCGGCGCGGATGCATCGGCTCCGTCGCCGATGCATCGCCGATGCATCGGCGATGCGGCGCGATCCTCCGACTCCATCTGCCCGGACCCCATCCAGGAGGCCTCTCGTAGCGCAACCGACGGCGACGGCGGTGGCGACGACGCAGGACGGACGACGCGCGACAAACCCCCTCCCGTCCGCGCGCGAGGAAGTGGAGAGAGGAGCAGGAAAAGCGCCGCAAGGAGACGCGCCCCCCCCTTTCCCCCTTCCCTTGAATCGGGCGTGTCCCTCTACAGGGGGAATGTTCAAACATAGTTTTGAAAACATAGCCGGGACGATCTTTGAGTTAATTTTTTGTTTCGCCCAAGATCCCCCTGTAGGAGGACATGCCCGACCTAACCCTCCGCCCCCCCTGCGGGGCGGGCGGACGCCACCGCGCGCACCGCCCCACCGCGCGGCCGCCGCCCGCCAGGCGCTCGAGGCTCGAGGGCTCTGAGGCATCGAGGATCGATGCGACGAGATGCTCTCTTCACTCCAGACGACTTTCCAAGACGACGACGACGACGAGGACGACGACCACGACGAGGACGACGACGACCACGACGACGACGACCACGACGACGACGACGAGGACGACGACGACGACCACAACGACGAGGACGACGAGGAGGACGACGACGACCAGGACGACGACGACGACGACGAGGACGACGACGACGACCACGACGACGACGAGGACGACGACCACGACGAGGACGACCACCACGACGAGGACGACGACGAGGACGACGACGACGACGACGAGGACGACGACAACGACGACGACGACCACGACCACGACGACGACGCTGCCGCCGACGACGACGACCACGAAGCGACGACGACGACCACGACGACGACGAGGACGACGACGACGACGAGGACGACGACCACGACGAGGACGACGACGACAAGGACGACGGGGACGACGACGACGACGACGAAACCGAGGACGACGACGACGCAGACGACGAGGACGACGAGGACGACGACGACGACGACGAGGACGACGACGACGAGGACGACGACGAAGACGACGATGTGGACGACGACGACGAGGACGACGAGGACGACGACGAGGACGACGAGGACGACGACGAGGACGACGACGACGACGAGGACGACGACAAGGACGAAGACGACGACCACGACGACCCACGACCACGACGACGACGACCACGGCGACGAAGACGACGACGACGACCACGACGACGACGAAGACAACGACGACGACCACGACGACGACGAGGACGACGACGACGAGGACGACGACCACGACGACGATGACGACGACCACGACGACGACGACCACGACGACGACGAGGATTACGACGACCACGAGGACGACGCGGACGACGAGGACGACGACGAGGACGAGGACGACGACGAGGACGACGACGAGGACGACGACGAGGACCCCGACGACGACGAGGACGACAACGACGACGAGGACGACGAGGACGACGACGACGAGGACGACGACGACGACGAGGACGACCACGACGACGACGATGACGACGACGACGAGGACGACGACCACGACAACGAGGAGGACGACGACGACGACCACGACAACGAGGACGACGACCACGACGGCGACGACATCGACGACGACGACGACGAGGACGACGACAACGACGCGGACGACGACGATGAGGACGACGATGACGACGAGGACGACGAGGACGACGACGACGATGTGGACGACGACGAGGACGACGACTACGAGGACGACGACAACGACGAGGACGACGACGGCGACAACGACGGCGACAACGACGTCGAGGAAGACGACGAGGACGACGACGACGACCACGACGACGACGACGATCGACGACGACGACGGCGACGACGAGGACGGCGACGAGGTCGACGAGGACGACGACGACGAGGACGACGAGGACGACGAGGACGACGAGGACGACCACGAGGACGAGGACGACGACGACGAGGACGACGTCCACGACGACGACCACGACGACAAGGGCGACCACGACGACGACGACGAGGAGGACGACGACGACGACCAGGACGACGCGTCGACGACGACGACGAGGATGACGACGACGCCGACGAGGACGACGACCACGACGAGGACGACGGCGACGAGGACGGCGACAACGCCGACGAGGACAACGTCGAGGACGAGGACGACGACAACGACGACGACCACGACGACGACGGTGAGGACGACGACGACGACGAGGACGACGACGACGACGATGACGAGGACGACCACGCCGAGGACGACGACGACCACGACGACGAGGACGACGAGGACGACGACGACCACGACAACGCCGACAGGACGGCCACGACGACGACGAGGACGACGGCGATGACGACGACGACGACCACGACGACGACGAGGACGACGAGGACGACGACGACGACGAGGACGACGAGGACCACGACGACGAGGACGACGACGACGACGAGGACGACGAGGACGACGACGATGACGAGGACGACGGGGACGACGATGACGACGAGGACGACGACGACGACGGCCACGACTACGACGACGACGACGACGACCACGACGACGAGGAGGACGACGACGTTGACTGCGAGGACGACGACGACGTCGAAAATTATGACGACGATGAGGACGACGAGGAAAAGGACGACGACGACGACGAGGACGACGACGAGGACGACGACGGCGACGGCGACGACGAGGATCACGACGAGGTCGACGAGGACGACCACGACCACGACGACGACGAGGACGACGCCCACGACGACGACGAGGATGACGACGACGACGAGGATGACGACGACGAGGACGACGACGACGAGGACGACGACGAGGACGACGAGGACGACGACGACGACAGCGACGCGGACGACGACGAGGATGACGAGGACAACGACGACGAGGACGGCGGCGACGCTGACGACGACGACGAGGATCACGACGACAACGACGACGACCAGGCCGACGACGACGACCACGACGACGACGTCGAGGACGACGGCGACGACCACGACGACGACGACGCAAACGACGACGAGGAGGAGGACGACGACGACGACGAGGACAACGACGACGGCCACGACGACGACGACCAGGACGACGACGACGAGGACGACGACGACGACCACGACGACGACGACGTTGTCGAGGCCGACGACGACGACGAGGACGCCGACGAGGACGACGACGACGAGGACGACGACGAGGACGACGAGGACGACGAGGACGACGAGGACGACGGCGAGGACGACGAGGACGACGAGGACGACAACGGCGACCACGACGACGAGGACGTCGACGACGAGGACGACGAGGGCGACGAGGACGACGAGGACGACGACGAGGACAATGAGCACGACGACGACGACCACCACGACGACGACCACGACGACGACCACGACGACGACGCCGACCACGACGACGACGTCGAGGACGACGAGGACTACGACGACGACAACGACGAGGACCGCGAGGACGACGAGGACGACGACCACGAGGATGACGACGACGACGGCGAGTAAAACGACGACGACGAGGACGACGACGACCACGGCGACATCGACGACGACGACGACGAGGATGACGACATGGACGACGACGACGACAAGGACGAGGACGACGAGTACGACGACGACGAGGACGACGATGGCAACGACGACGACGACGCCGACGAGGACGACCAAGGCGACGACGACGAGGAAGACGTCGAGGACGATGAGCACGACGACGACAGCGACGACGACGAGGACGACGACGACGAGGACGACGACGAGAAGGACGACGAGGACGGCGACGACGACGATGAGGACGACGACGACGGCCACGACGAGGACAACGACGCCGGCCACGACGTCGACGACGAGGACGACATCGACGACGCCCATGACGTCGACGACGACGTCCACGAGGACGACGACGACGAGGACGACGAGGACGACGACGATGACGACGAGGACGACGACGAGGACGACGAGGACGACGACGAGGACGACGAGCACGACGACGACAACGACGACGACGACCACGACCACGAGGACGGGGACGACGAGGACGACGAGGACGACGACGATGACGATGACAACGACGACGACATCGGCGACGACCACGACGACGACCACGACGACCACGACGACGACGTCGAGGACGACGATGACGACGACGAGGGCGACGACGACGACGAGGACGACGACGACGACGACGGCCAAGACGACGACAAGGAGGACGACGACGACGAACACGAGGACGACGACGACGACCACGACGACGTGGACGATCACGACGACGGACCACGACGACGACGACCACGACGACGACGAGGACGAGGACGACGACGACTACGGCGACGACGGGGACGACGACGACGAGGACGACGTCGACGAGGACGACAAAGACGACGACGAGGACGACGATGGGGACGACGATGACGACGACGATGACGACGACGACGAGGACGACGCCCACGACGATGACGACGGGGATGATGACGACGACGACGACGACGAGGATGACGACGACGACGACCTCGACGATGACGACGACGAGGACGACCATGACGACGAAGCCGACGACGACGAGGGCGACGACGACGACGAGGACGACGACGACGAGGACGACGACGCCGACGAGGACCACGACGACAACGACGACGACAAGGACGACGACCACGACGACGACGAGGACGATGACGACGACGTCGAGGACGACGACGACGACGACGACGACGACAAGGACCACGACGAGGAGGAGGAGGACGACGAGGACGACGACGACGACGAGGAGGACGAGGATAACCACGACGACGAGGACGACGACGAGGACGACGACGACGGCGGGGACGACGAGGACGACGACGACAACGACGACCACGACAGCGACGACGAGGACCACGACGACGAGGACGACGACGAGGACGACGTCCACGAGGATGACGACGACGACGTCGAGGACCACGAGAACGACGACCACGACGACGACGACGAGGGCGACGACGACGACCACGACGACGACGAGGCCGGCGACGACGAGGATGACGACGACGTCGAGGACGACTGCGACGACGACGACGAGGACGACGACGAGGACGACGACGACGACTACGACGACGACGACGAGGACGACGAGGACGACGAGGACGACGAGGACGAAGACGACGAGGACGACGACGACGACGACAAGGACGACGACGACGGCCACGTCGACGACGAGGGCGACGAAGACGACGAC